GGATAGGAGATGTTGTCAGTTTTTGCTTTAAGGAGAGAGAAAGCCTGTTGACATTTGTCTGTCCAAGAAAATTTGACATCCTTCTTGAGAGTGTCATAGAGAGGTGCTGCTATACCCGAGAAATTGGGAACAAATTTCCTATAGTAACTGCACAGACCGAGAAAATGACGAACATCATGAACGTTTTTGGGTGGGGGAATTTGTGTGACTGCTTCTATTTTAGATTGATCAACTTCAATACCATTTTTGGTGAAAATGTGCCCTAGATATTGGACTTGTTTTGCTGCAAATTTACATTTGCTTGGTTTCAAAGTCAAGCCAGCTTGCTTTATCTTTTGAAAAACACATTTTAGATGATTCAAATGTTCTGAAAATGTTTTGGAGTAGACAATGATGTCATCCACATAAATAAGAATGTATTTCCAGTTCATGTCTTTTAGCGCTTCTGAAATAGTACTTTGAAATGCCATGGGAGCATTTTTAAGGCCAAATGGGAGACGGTTCCATTCAAAAACACCATCAGGAGTAATGAAAGCAGATTTGTGTTTTGTTTCTGGATGAAGAGGAATTTGCCAAAACCCACTAGCACAATCCAAAACACTGAAAATTTTTGCATGACTTTCTCCAACTGCATCAATGACATCTTCAAACCTAATTAGAGGAAAGAAAATTGGCTTGGTGAGAGCATTCAGGCGTCTGTAATCCACGGCAAAACGATAAGTGTTGTCACGTTTCTTTACCATAACGACTGGGGAGTGCCACTCTGATGAACTAGGTTGAATAATTTTGGCATCTAACATTTCTTTAATTTGTCTTGAGCACTCTTTCCTAACTTCAGCACTTTGGCGATAAAAGGGGCGCCTAACGGGTCTAGCATCACCTGTCTCTATCCTATGTTTGTGAAGATGTGTTTGACCAAGTTCAGACCAATTGTGTGCAAAAGCAGAGTGTTGAGAGTTGAGGAAAGAAAGAAGTTCTTGTTTTTGGACAGGAGACAGGTCTGAATCAGAAAGGTCAAAGGATAGTTCTGAAGTAGTAGTGTGTTTGCGATGAGATGGGGACTGGGGTGGAGTTGTCAAGACATGGGGTGTATAATCTGAATTAGTCTGACCTCGTGTAACTGCTGCAGTACTGGCCTGAGAATGAGGACGACATGTGTCATGGGATGGTTGGGGTTCAGGTTCAGGTGAATCTGGCAATACTGAGACACTGGATGGGTGCACTTCACATGCTACAGCTAGCACTCTTTTAGTATTTAAGTGAACAGGGGATTTGGTAGGGTTGAGGAAGCGCATATAAACACCCTTCTTGGACTTAGTCACTAAACATCTGCCGCCCTGCAGTTTAACTCTTGCAAGCTCAGGAACAGGTTCTAATAGAAGAGTAGAGCCTAGCCTATGACGAGAGATTTGGACTGGAATGTCTACCTGACAAGAGGGTGGAATTGTGATGGGTTTCTTTGCTCTAGCATAGCCTGCACTAGATTCAACTAGGGGAACAGTGATCAGACCTTCTTGGATAATCAGGCACCTGTCAGCTAGGGAGATAGCTGCTTTGTATTCAGAAAGGAAGTCCATGCCTAATATCAGAGAATGGTGTAGAGATTGAAAAACATAGAAGGATTGGGAGAGGAGGAGATGACCTATGCAGATATCAAGAGAAATGGAACCTAGCACCTTATGAACTTCGCCACCTACACCAATGATTTCATGAAGGTCAGAGTCTTGTAAGTGCCGTAAATTGTATCCTACTTTTTGAAGGTAGCTCATGCTGACACAGGACACAGAGGCACCTGTATCAACTAGAGCTGTTGTCTTCACTTGCTTCACCTTAACTAGAACAGTGTTCTTAACCAAGGGAGCCACAAGTGAGACCATAGGTTTCTCATGCCTGATCCCAGCCATCTGAGAATCAGGCGCGAGTCCCTATTGCCTTGGGTATTCATTCTGAGAATGATATGCCCTTATGCACACGCTAGAATGGTGACCTACTTTATGGCAAAAGTACACTGGGTATTAAAATGTGGGCAATATAATCTGTCTGAACAGTACATACCACATCCGATACATCTTTGCTGCAGGAACGGGGGTACTGGGTACTGTGGGCGCCACTGATGACTGCTGGTCTGTCTTTGAGGGCCCTGATTCCTTGGATGTGGTCGACCTTGAGGCAGCGGGTACTGTTGAGGAGGTGGTGGTTGTCTCTGGATCTGGGCGCCATGATGCTGCTGCCGTCTGGGTTGGTAGCGTTGGGGACGATGTGGCTGGAACTGTTGCTGCTGCTGTTGCTGTTGTTGTTGTTCTGAAGACGGTCTGGTGGCTTCTGTAGCAGCAGCCTGAACTGGTGGGGCCTCAGTCTTTGTGATTAGGGTGGCCACAAGTTCTGATAGGTGGTCTACCTTCATGGCCATGTTGATGTCCTGAGAACTCACACTAGTCTGGGATCTCTCAGCCAGTTCAGCATGGTGACGGACATCTTCCAGGGTGGCAGGCTCTTTGTTAATAACCCACTGGCGGATGCTAGGCCTAAGCCCATTGACGGCTACTGCCACAGTCACAGACACTGGCAGTGCTAAATTATGTGTAGCTTTCTGTAATCTTGCCAAATAATCTGCACTGGTTTCTCCCGTAGACTGCGACATTTGTAACACATTCACGTCGAAGGTTCTTGGTCTGTGAAACCTTGACGTGAAGGCTTCCTCCAGATGGGTCATACTTTGTTTGGTATCGTTGGGAAGATCTTGGTGCCATACCTTGGCTGTCCCTCTAAATAGAATGGGAACAGCAGGCACTGTCGTTCCTCATTGTAACCAAACAGCTTGACAAAATTTGTGAAATCTTGCCACCAGGATGTAGCTTCCTCCTGTCCGTTGAAGGGCCTCAGTTTGATGTGGGGAGTCGCCATTGTAAAGGATGGGGATGCAGGTGTTGATGAAGGCGTTGATGATGTTGTAGAGGATGATGTGTGTGTTGTTGATGACGAAGCCGCGGTTGATGCTGTTGATGCTGTTCTTGATGTTGTTGATGCTGTTGACGGCGTTGAAGACGTAACTGTGGGAATGGTCTGGGAGTGGGAAGATGGGAGGGGTGAAACCTGCGTCTTGAGTGAACTGGTTAGCTGTAACCTTGGCTCAGGCCGTCGAAGCTTCTGTTTGTAATTCGTAGGCGTGGCACCGGTCATCTAGGATTTTCCTCCACCAGTTGAAACAGTTTGCTTGCGCTACTGTTTTAGACCTAGAATTGCTACGGGGAATTAGCTCCGGGATCTCCACGCCTTCAAATACAAACAGAGAGGATCTCAGGCAAAACAGGAATCTTTATTGGTTAAACACATGAAGGCAAAGGACACATATTCAGTTAACTGGTAATTCCGAATTATTGGTCAAGAGAAATAATTATAATATTGTTGCAGAAAACTATTCAATTGAAATAACAAACAATATGACAAGTGACACGACCGAGATAAAAATACAGATGCTTAGAACATGTTGTAAACGTTATACACGTTTGGCATTTATTGACTTTAAGCATCCACAACTCCAATAACTAAAGCGAACGTTTTATTTTAACGGAAATAGTTTAGGCGTCTGATATACTAATGGTGACCTGTGAAAGTAATGATTTCTTATCTGGGATTCGCGATTATTCATAAATTCATTATATATATAAACTACAAAGGAATTAACATATAGCGACTAAACGGAAAATTCGAGCAGCACTTTAGAATAAGTCAGATGATTTCATTGTTCAAGCAGGGTAACACGGTTAGAAGGACTTTAAGCAAATTTAACCAAATGAAAAAGTAACAAGTAAAAGTGACTTACCTTCAAATACAAACAGAGAGGATCTCAGGCAAAACAGGAATAACTCAGTGGCGAGCTACACCTGCATTTATACCCGAATCTCCTGGAATTTGAAAGCAAGTCGAAGAGCGCATGTCACACTGGTCATATTACGCAAGTTTGACAAAGCTGGGTAGCCAAAGCTGGGGCAAAGTTAGCTAATTGGAAACATAATCGCTGCTGGAATGTTACCGTTCGGGTCGGTGGCCTTTGTTAATTGTTTTGGGTTGGCCAGCCGTGTCTAGTTCGACAATGCACCTACTCTGTTAATCACTGTGTGTCTGAGACACAAAGAGCAGTGGCCTAACACTTACTAATCTCCCAGAGTCGCTAGTCCGGTTCTGGTAGCTTGAATGGTATAGATTTGAGAATAGTTGTGTAGGTTCTGTTAGCTATATGCCTTAACTGGACTGAGAATGTAAAATTATAAGATTGTAAAACAAATCAAAAATAGATAAAAACTTGAAGACAAGTAAGGTAAATTTTGGCACTGTTATAGTTATAACTGCATCTACAATGCAGACTTCAATTCGTGTTGGATGTTAACGTCTTCTATGACGTCGTTTCGACAGGATGTAACTCAAGTATACGACGTCAGTTTTGAACAATATATGTGAATTAATAGTTCATATTGCCATGCCCGTGTTACATTTAGCTTCCGGTGTATATATCGCTTCGGTTAGATCAAGTTATGCCTCTTAGCAGATGTCACGTAAACGAAATTGCATCGCGATGCTTTAAGGAACAACATGACGTCATCATAACTATGACGTCACACACAAACAACAATTATCCCTGCCACTGTAGCTGGTTAGTTGTTCTTTACTGTTTGTTGTTTAACTCATTGCTTTTTTACTGTTAATAAATGGAAGGATGGAATGAAGATGGACGATAAACAGAATATCACCATTCTGTTCCATATTGGTAGTCACACATATGTCACACGTTTATACTTCATGATATGGCGGGGAGTGTAGCCTTGTGGTTAAAGCGTTCGCCCCTCGCGCCCAAGACCTTGGTTAGGTTCCCCACATGGGTTTAATTGGTCAAGCCAATGTTTGGTGTCCCTGTCTGGTTATATTACTGGATTGTTGCTACATGCGGCTTAAAACTATACTCACTCCTTTGTGAATAAAAATTCACATATCTGTCTCTACAGGTGCTGTGTTTGCTAGTCTGGCCGTGATGGAGTCGCTCAGCAGTGCGTTAGGTGCTGTGACCTTCAACAACATCTACAAGGCCTCCGTCGCTGTCTGGGGAGGGGCGGTGTATGCTGCCATGGCAGCATCCCATTTCTTAGCTCTGTGGTTCTTTCTGTAAGTATTGCTGGATTATTGCTAAAAGCGGCGTAAAACTAAACTTACTCTTTCTGTAAGTGTTGTTTTATTTTACAATGACATCCAGATCTAATACGAGTACAAACACATTTAAACGTTCAAAAGAAACTAATAGTGTACCAGGCTGCAATTTATGATACAAATAATCTGGGCCCCTTTTGTATTACTATTATTAATGAATTTATTTCTGGGACTATGTTGATCAAATACCTGTGAAGATCTGGGTTAGAATTGTTGTATTCAGCAACTCATATTTGAAAGACTTGACTCACTGACTTGGTCTGACATATCACCATGTCCCAGTTGCGCAGATATATGTTCATGCTGTTGATCACTGGACTGTCTGGTCCAGGTTCGATTATTTACAGGCCGCCGCCATATGGCAGGCATATTGCTGTGTGCGGACTTAAACAACAATCAAACAAACAAAAACAAAGCACTATTCCACCTTATTCATTGGAAATCAGTGAACACTTGTGAAATGTTCCTGTTTTCTTGCAGAGCTTTCAGAATTCTGAACAAAGGACAGTATTCTACTTGAAACAACATAAACAGCCAACCACCACAGGCGTCGTCATTTGCTGCAGACGTGTCACGTGATGCACTCCGTCATCCATCGAACTCGGGAAGGAAGTTCGTGCACGCGACGTTCGCACACTCGACAGTGCACAATATTTTGATAAGAATAGATCCAATGTGTTTTCAGTGTTGAGCTAGGTTTCGCATAGGCTTAAACTATGGCGCTGTGGTGAATTTTGAACAAAAAGCTGATATATATGTATAGTCTGCAGGTAGCCATGTTCGGCAATAGAAACACAGTTTATCTCGTATTTATTTCACCATGACTATATTGATTGCAAACGTTTTGTAACAAAATGTCTTGGGTGGAGTCCCATGTTTTGAGCGAACTACAAAAATGAATTAAAAACCCATATCTAGACATTTAACAAAGGTCGGTGTTGTATCAGCCCAGACACGGTTTTTAATGCATTCATACTATACTTGGGTCGAAAGCAACTTCGTAAGGTTACGTGAAGTGGCCACCCTTGAAAGAAACCGCACGTCAACATTATGACGTCATACAGTTCACTGAAATCAGTCGGCTGCAGAAAAGCGCGATATTCCAAGTTCGTATATACACTCTCTTAGTGTTTCTCCATAGTGTTTTCTGTCCAACATGCATTGTCACACATATGTTGTATCAGCTGTATTTGTTTGTTTGTTTTTTTATAGTACTTGTACATTATATTTCTCTCAAGAGTGCCTATTGGCAATGGCCAAAAAAGGATTACGTTTGTATAAATAAATTACTTCTGTGATCATTGCCTCAGATAAATCGATGGTATTTTGTAAATAATCGAATCTGGACCAGACAATCCAGTGATCAACGTCATGAGCATCGATCTATGCAATTGAGATATGATGACGTGTCAACTAAATCAGTGAGCTTGATCACCTCATCTCGTTAGTTGCCTCTGACAACTTGCATTTGTTCTCCACGGGTCTAAATCGATGGTTAAATGAACTATGTATCTATGATATCGAATATATATTCACGGTGTATTATTAGAGTGTTTATGTTATCATTTAATTGAGACAACATGTCAATTTCGTGGACATGTATCACCAAACATTACATGGGTTTACATTTTTTCGATTGTGTAACTAAGGCCATCTGTTCTTATGTGTTTCTTATCACAAACCCCAAACAGCAAGAGTAGACTGGTGAATTTTTTTTAAAGAATAGTTACTATAAATCTTTTTTTCTGTCATTGTGTAACTTATTTTATGAAATTTACAATTGAAAACACTTAGTAATGGTCTTCAAATTTATTTATGATGGGAAAGAAATTAAAAGAATAATTATTATATATGTTTTTAAATGTTATTGTGTAACTTTTTATGATATTATATAATTAAGATGACTTAGTAACAGCCTTTTAAATATATTTATGATGGGGAAAAAATTAAAAGAATAATTATTATATATGTTTATACATGTCATTGTGTAACTTTTTATGAAATTTTAGAATTGAGATCACTTAGTAATAGTCTTTAGGAGGTAGATCGATTCGCTTTGCTTTGGAAACAATTTGTCAATAAACGTACAGGAAGAAAGGTCACTAGACCTATTTTAGTATGAGCGTGCAAAGAAAAGTCTAAATGACTGTGTTTGGTTTTACGCCGCTTTTAGCAATATTACAGCAATGTCACGACCGGGGACACTAGAAATGGGATTCACATATTGTACCCACATGGAGAACCACTAGGCTACCCTACCGTTCCCCGGGAAAGTTTGAGGTTGAATGCTATCGCATCTTCTGTGCGCCTTCTCTTGAGAGACAAACTGCTGGCGTTGAAATTATCATTGTGTTAATTATTTATGAGTGAGTGGCTATGGCTTTACGCCGCTTTTAGCAATGTTCCAGCAATATCACGCAGGGTACACCAGAAATGGGCTTCACACATTGTACACACGTGGGGAATCGAACTTGGGCCTTCAGCGTGAGGAGCGAACGCCTGAACCACTGGGCTACCCTACCGCCCCAGCAATGAAAAGAGTATTTTCTATCACACGAGGGCATTATATTTCTTCAGCTGCGGGGAAAATGACGATAAGAGAACATTTTATTATTTCACTTCGAATGACAATTCAGGGAAGACAGGAAAGAGAAAACTGCGTACAGCCTCACACGTAGGGATATAAAATTCACTTCATATTCACAATTTACACACACACCATAAAACTATAAATACATTTATAGTCATGTGAATGCTTGAGTTATATAACTTTATATATAACATTTTATAACAGATATAATATTTGTTCTGACACAATTGCTGTTTCTGTGTTATATACAGTGACAGTGGGGTGACATATATACTTAGCTTACAACCTAGGCATTATGGCAGAGAAATGCTTAGTCACTGCACAGTGTAAACACAAAGCTCTCCGTGTTGTCACCCACCACTAAGCACACACAAACCAGTTAAACCCCTTTGGGCGTATTGGCACGACGTATAATCTGAATGTTAATTCAAAGGAAAGTATCGTCTATTGCTTGGACCTGGTTGGAAGTAGAAGCACCTCTCTACATAAACACTGCTGCGTTATGCCTCTGTCCCCATTGAGGTCGCTTCAGTGAGGTCACACTGAGGTTAACGATGAATGTATAAACACGCGACACATGAACGGATCAATACAACCAACGAGGCGTGTACAACGCTAGCAGCAGCTCCAACTGACAAAATCCAGGCGGTTAATCAAAATCAGACTCATATAGAACACAGCTTGGCCTGGGATCATTAACAGGACGCACAGGTGAACGGCGGCATGACAGGCATATATATAACCTAGGTATGACTTTATTTATAGTGACGACCACGTGTGTATGTTTTGTATAAGGAAGGTTTAAACGGTGTCAACATGGAGGACGCACCACTACTCCCGTCCAAAGAGGAAGGAAGCCGTAATGGAGAGAAATCCAACGTCAAGAACCTCCTTTTCCTGAATGGTGTGATGTTCATATTGACGGTGTCAGGCAACCTGTTCATGCCTGTCATGAGTCAGTATTTGTACCATCGAGTATCGGAGGATGTGTTCAACCATACATTGGTCAACACCTCAACAACACAGCCGTGTTACCGGAACAAGACAGACCCCGATTACATGCTCCAGGAAAAGGCCCAGCAAGTCACCGCGGAGAAACAAATGCAGTTCACGATGTTGAGAAGCGCCCTGGCTATCCTCAGTAATATCATGCTGGGTGCTTATTCCGATTCCATTGGTAGAAAATTCCTGTTTGTGGCCCCTATGACCGGGCAGCTGATAAGATCCGCTTTCGTGTCTGTTATCATCAGATATAGGCTTGACTTGAACTTTCTCTTCTTGTCCGAAGGGATAGATGGTCTCCTAGGAAGCTATTACGGAATCTTGCTTGCGTCCTATACATTCACCGCCGACAACACCCCCGCAACGGGGTCCCGCACCATCGGCATCGCCGTTGTCGACCTCACCGAATTCTTCGCCACCTCCCTGGTCTCAATAGCCAGTGGGTATTTCATCCAGGATGTGAATTTCTTCTACCCGGCTCTCACTGCCACGCTGGTGTGTTTGGTGGCTCTTTTAATTGTCATACTGTTCCTCCCGACAAGCAGATATGCTAGCGAGAGAAGATGGATGGGTCCAGTGGAAGGACTTAAAAGAGTGTTTGGATTTTATGTTCTCGATAACACCACCTTAAAGAAAGCGTGCTTCATCCTTATTTTGCTTACTTTTGTGTTTAACGTCATCAGTGCTTTAGGAGGCTCCAGCATCAACACATTGTTTCTCCTGAATGCGCCCTTTTGCTGGACTCCCGAAAAACTGGCATATTACGTGACAGCCTTCACAGTGTTATGTCCCTTAATAGGTGTACCCTTAACCAGGTTGTTCCAGGTGTGCCTGATAGACGAGATCATTGCCGTCATAGCGACATCAGCAGCCGTCGCAAGTGATGTCATACACTCGTTTGCGTCGACGGATGTCACCATGTATATAGGTAAGTGCCTCTTGTAATCATGGGGGCGGTGGGGTAGCCTAGTGGTTAAAGCGTTCGCTCGTCACCCGGGTTCGATTCCCTACATGGGTACAATGAGGTCCACTTCTGGTGTCCCCCGCCGTGATATTGCTGTAATATTGTTAAAAGCGGCGTAAAACTAAAAAAGAAGAAAATCTCATAATGATTGTAATCATGGCTATATTTTTGTTACGACTTTGAAAATGTTTCATAAACTAAGCGTCTAATGTCATCGCATTGATCTGTGTGTATATATATATATATATATATATATATGTTGCAGTTGTAGGTGTGTCCTCAATCGGTAGCACTTTGTCCAGTATTACCCGAGCCATCATGTCCCGCATGGCACCACCCGACAGGCAAGGTAAGTTATACCACGTACCCGTTTGAAGGTTCGGGTTAGAATTGGTCTTTGGCAACCCATGCTTGTCGTAAGAGGCGACTAACGCTATGGCTATGGGGTGGTCAGGCTTGCTGATTTTTTCTTGACGCATGTCATCGTATCCCAAGAGCGTAACTGATGCTTACGATGTCGATCACTGGATAGCCATTGTCAGACTCGATTATTCGCTGGAATACTGTAGAGTACGGCTTTAAACAACATAGAAAACGAAACAAAGTTTCGCAACGAGTTGGCTTGTGTTTTCTTTGCGTCCTTAGGTTCACAGCGAGATATGATCAACAAAGTAGGCACGAATATAAAGAAATATAAACGTTCAAATCTCAGTTTCGAGTTGAACACATCTTCAGGAAAGTAAATCAAATGTGTACCTTTGTTGCATGTTCCGATATCGCCTCTGTAGATGTACTACTGGTAGATGTTCCGATATCACCTGTCTAGATGTACTACTGGTACATGTTCCGATATCGCCTCTGTAGATGTACTACTGGTACATGTTCAAATATTGCCTGTGTAGATGAACTACTGGTACATATTCCTATATCGCCTGTGTAGATGAATTACTGGTATATGTTCTGATATCGCCTCTGTAGATGTACTACTGGTACATGCTCCGATATCGCCTGTGTTGCTGTACTACTGGTAGATGTTCCGATATCACCTGTCTAGATGTACTACTGGTACATGTTCCGATATCACCTGTGTAGATGTACCACTGGTACATGTTCCAATATCGCCTGTGTAGATGAATTACTGGTATATGTTCCGATATCGCCTCTATAGATGTACTACTGATACATGCTCCGATATCGCCTGTGTAGATGTACTACTGGTACATATTCCTATATCGCCTGTGTAGATGTACTACTGGTACATGTTCCGATATCAACTGTGTAGATGTACCACTGGTACATGTTCCAATATCGCCTGTGTAGCCCTACAACTGGTACATATTCCGATATCGCCTGTGTAGATATACTACTGGTACATGTTCCGATATCACCTGTGTAGATGTACAACTGGTACATGTTCCAATATCGCCTGTGTAGATGATCTACTGATACATGTTCCTATAGCGCCTGTGTAGATGTACAACTGGTACATGTTCCGATATCGCCTGTGTTGCTGTACTACTAGCACATGTTCCGATATCGCCTGTGTAGATATACTACTGATACATGCTCCGATATCGCCTCTGTAGATGTTCTACTAATACATGCTCCGATATCACCTGTGTAGATGTACTTCTTGTACATGTTCCGATATCGCCTGTGTAGATGTACTACAGATACATGCTCCGATATCGCCTGTGTTGCTGTACTACTGATACATGCTCCGATATCACCTGTGTAGATGTACTTCTTGTACATGTTCCGATATCGCCTCTGTAGATGTACTACTTGTACACGTTCCCATATCGCCTGTGTTGCTGTACTACTGGTGAGTGAGTGAGTGAGTTAATATTTAACGTCACATCGGCAATATTTCAGCCATATCGTGACGAGAACATTCGATATTGAAATGAAATATATGTATATTATAATGTACTACTGGTACATGTTCCGATAACGCCTGTGTTGCTGTACTACTGGCACATGTTCCGATATCACCTGTGTAGCTGTACTACTGGCATATGTTCCGATATCACCTGTGTAGCTGTACTACTGGCACATGTTCCGATATCACCTGTGTAGCTGTACTACTGGCATATGTTCCGATATCACCTGTGTTGCTGTACTACTGGCATATGTTCCGATATCGCCTGTGTTGCTGTACTACTGGTACATGTTCCGATATCACCTGTGTAGCTGTACTACTGGCACATGTTCCGATATCGCCTGTGTAGCTGTACTACTGGCATATGTTCCAATATCACCTGTGGTGCTGTACTACTGGCATATATTCCGATATCGCCTGTGTTGCTGTACTACTGGTACATGTTCCAATATCACCTGTGTAGCTGTACTACTGGCACATGTTCCGATATCGCCTGTGTAGATGTACTACTGGCACATGTTCCGATATCGCCTGTGTAGATGTACTACTGGTACATGTTCCGATATCGCCTGTGTTGCTGTACTACTGGTACATGTTCCGATATCACCTGTGTAGCTGTACTACTGGCACATGTTCCGATATCACCTGTGTAGCTGTACTACTGGCATATGTTCCGATATCACCTGTGTTGCTGTACTACTGGCATATGTTCCGATATCGCCTGTGTTGCTGTACTACTGGTACATGTTCCGATATCACCTGTGTAGCTGTACTACTGGCACATGTTCCGATATCACCTGTGTAGCTGTACTACTGGCATATGTTCCAATATCACCTGTGGTGCTGTACTACTGGCATATGTTCCGATATCGCCTGTGTTGATATCGTTCCGATATCACCTGTGTTGCTGTACTACTGGCACATGTTCCGATATCACCTGTGTAGCTGTACTACTGGCACATGTTCCGATATCACCCGTGTAGCTGTACTACTGGGTACGATATCGCCTGGTACATGTTCCGATATCATAGCGCCTGTGTAGCTGTACTACCATGTTCCGATATCACCTGTGTAGCTGTACTACTGGATACATGTTCCGATATCGCCTGTGTAGCTGTACTACTGGCATATGTTCCGATATCACCTGTGTTGCTGTACTACTGGCATATGTTCCGATATCGCCTGTGTTGCTGTACTACTGGTACATGTTCCGATATCACCTGTGTAGCTGTACTACTGGCACATGTTCCGATATCACCTGTGTAGCTGTACTACTGGCATATGTTCCGATATCGCCTGTGTAGATGTACTACTGATACATGCTCCGATAGCGCCTGTGTTGCTGTACTACTGGTACATGTTCCGATATCACCTGTGTAGCTGTACTACTGGTATATGTTCCTATATCGCCTGTGTAGATGTACTACTGGTACATGCTCCGATATCATCTGTGTAGCTGTACTACTGGTATATGTTCCTATATCGCCTGTGTAGATGATCTACTGATACATGTTCCGATATCGCCTGTGTAGATGTACTACTGGTACATGTTCCGATATCGCCTGTGTTGCTGTACTACTGGTACATGTTCCGATATCACCTGTGTAGATATACTACTGGTACATGCTCCGATATCGCCTGTGTAAATGTACTACTGGTACATGTTCCGATATCACTTGTGTAGATGATCTACTGATACATGTTCCTATAGCGCCTGTGTAGATGTACAACTGGTACATGTTCCGATATCACCTGTGTAGATGATCTACTGATACATGTTCCTATATCGCCTGTGTAGATGTACTACTGGTACATGTTCCGATATCGCCTGTGTTGCTGTACTACTGGTACATGTTCCGATATCACCTGTGTAGATATACTACTGGTACATGCTCCGATATCGCCTGTGTAAATGTACTACTGGTACATGTTCCGATATCGCCCGTGTAGATGTAGTACTGGTACATGTTCCGATATCGCCCGTGTAGATGTACCACTGGTACATGTTCCGATATCGCCCGTGTAGATGTAGTACTGGTACATGTTCCGATATCGCCCGTGTAGATGAACTACTCGTACATGTTCCGATATCGCCCGTGTAGATGTACTACTGGCACATGTTCCGATATCGCCTGTGTAGATGTACTACTGATACATGCTCTGATATCGCCTCTGTAGATGAACTACTGGTACATGTTCCGATATCGCCTGTGTAGATGTACTATCGGTACATGTTCCGATATAGCCTGTGTAGATGTACTACTGGTCGTGTTCCGATATCGCCTGTGTAGCTGTACTATCGGTACATGTTCGCATATCGCCTGTGTAGATGTACTCCTGGTACATGTTCCGATATTGCCTGTGTAGATGTACCACTGGTACATGTTCCCATATCGCCTGTGTAGCTGTACCACTGGTACATGTTCCGATATACAATTGTGTAGATGTACTACTGGTACATGTTCCAATATCGCCTGTGTAGCTGTACTACTGGTACATGTTCCGATATCGCCTGTGTAGCTGTACTACTTGGATATGTTCCGATATCGCCTGTGTAGATGTTCCGATACATAGTACATGTTCCCTGTTTGCAAGAGTGCAAGTTCGCCAGTATAAATATATAGAGGATACTAAAAGACCCTTCCATGTAACACCAATTTCATTAAACGAGTAAATGATTTGGTATCTAACGAGCGAAAGCGAGTTTGGTGCTAAATATTTAACGAGTTTGATAGAAATGGTATTTAAGCGAGTTTAGTATTATGGGTATTACTCTCCAACATAAATTGATAGAAACTGCCTACAGTGTGATGACTCTCATGTCAATTTTCCGCGAGTCAAGCAGGGTCTAATACCATTGCGACAGAGGCATTTGCATTGTTAGGTCATAACTGTAACCATTATGACGTCGTATGTCTAGCGAAATTACACTAGTGTAATATTGCCGTAAAAATATTACACTGCAGTATCTTCCACGGGCAGCAATAAATTGCTATTACAGGGTGCCTGTATCGCTTTACTATTGTTAGATGGTTAATTTTCTCCAGGTGTGCTGTTACACTACTTTTGTTAAAGGTCCATTATTCGATGTACAGCTGCACTATCTTTCGAGGGTCACTGCTTTCCACTTCCTTTGTTGTATTGTGACAGCGTTATGATTGTACTATTGTTCCCTGTTCGCTGTTCCAGTGCAGCTTTTTTACAGAGTAACTTACCAATTGAAGAGCTGCTCCAATGTTAGAGGTTCAATATTACAGCTGCACTTTTGGTTTGTGTCCTAGGCCCTTTCGTCAGTGTACTATTGTTACATGTTTACTATTCTCCAGTATATCTTATAAGTTGTTCACTGTTCACGAGGAGGGCATTGGTTGATGTACCCTCGGTGTTTGTTAAATGTTCCCTGAGCCCGAAGGGCGAGGGGAACATAAACAAACATCGAGGGAATATCAACCCATGGGCCCTGAGAGGCCAGTGAACAATGTATTTATCTTACCGAACACATTAATGTTAATTTTGAATTGTTTGAAGCACGGGTACAAATCTTTGTGTAGCCATCGATAGATTTTGCTGACAAGAAAAACAGATTTAGAGTTATCCCCCTTCCATCGATTTGCATTCGCAAAACATCGGTAATTTCCGTACATCATTCGTGATTCAATGTAATTCGAGATAAAGAACTACTAGCACGAAGTACCAAATGAGTTGCCATTGACAGCGGGGTACATTGAAATGTTACTCGCTTGTAAGAGCGCTCAGCCAATCAGAAAGCGACATTTATGTGTGAGGTAAGATAAGTACTATTGTTACAGATTCACCATTCTCCAGTATACCTGTACGGGTGTTACATGTTCACTATTCTCCAGTGTACCTGTACTATTGTTACAGGTTCACCATTCTCTATTGTTACAGGTTTACTATTCTCCAGGACGGCTGTACATTTGTTACATGCTGGCTATTCTCCATTATACCTAGCTTTTTTGTTACAGGTTCACTGTTCGCCAGTATCGCGGTAATGGAGACAATCTGCTCGCTGGTTGGAACTCCTTTATTCAGCAACATCTACCAGAGCACTGTTGTCATGTGGAGAGGACTCGTCTTCATCGTCATGGCGGGAATGCACGTCGTTGCTGCCGTCATACTCGTGTAAGTATCTCAGAACTGCAGACATGACTGACATTACACTATACATTCTCATAACTTTGTTTGTTTGTTGTTTAAATCCGCACTCAGCAATGAACCAGCCATGAGGCGTCTGTAAATAATTAGATCTGGACGACATAATCAAGTGATCAATATCATGAGCATCGATCTAAGCAATTGGGATACGATGACATATGTCAACCAAGTGAGCGAGCCTGACCACCCGATCCCGTGAATGGGATGGGTTGCTGAAGACCAATTCTAACCCGGATCCTCACGGGTCGCTGAGAACATTGATTGACGCCACTTAGCAATACAGCAGCCATCCGCTGAAAGACCCGTGAAGATCCGGGGTAGAATAAGTCTTCAGCAACCCATGCTTGCCACAAAAGGCGACTATATGCTTGTCGTAAGAGGCGACTAACGGGATCGGGTGGTCAGGCTCGCTGACTTGGTTGACATATGTCATCGGTTCCCAATTGCGCAAATCGATGCTCCTGCTGTTGATCACTTGATTGTCTGGTCCAGACTCGATTATTTACAGACCGCCGCCATATAGCTGGAATATTGCTGAATGCGGCGTAAAACTAAACTCACTCACTCACTCACTATCCACTGAGATGTCATGCATGGCTCTTGATTTATGAACACAAGCGTAAAACATCGTTTCAAATGAAGCGACACAATCAGCTATTTAAAATGTTGCTAATAAATACTGTGAGTATATGGTTTCGGGATCAAGAATCAAACAAAGCTGATCTTAAATGATGATATATAGAAATACAACACATGACTGTTATCATCTCTCCAGGATATTCATCTTCGTATCACGCCCAGTGAGGGAGGAACATAAGAGGATGAAGTCGTTGAATGTTCAGGAGGAGGACGCGAGGAGCTAGTCCAACAGAACATCCAGGACTGTGTTTGGTTTGGTGTGCAATCATTGGTTGGTTTGTTGTTTAACGCAACACTCAGCAATATTCCAGCTATATGGCGACAGTCTGTAAATAATCGAGTCTGTACCAGACATTCCAGTGATCAACAGCATGAGCATCGAGCTACTCAATTTGGATACGATGACATGTGTCAACCTAGTCAGCGAGTGTGACCACCTGATCCCGTTAGTAGCCTCTCATGACAAGCAGGGGTTGCTGAAGACCAATTCTAGCCGGCAACTTCATGGGTTGTTTCCAGGGCTGGGGAAGCAAGACAAGTCGGTTATTCTGACAAACTGTGGAACACGGGTGACTCGTCATTGGCACCACGATTCGCTGTTCAGAGTTGGATTAGTAGCGGTAATCTGATCGTGGTTGGTGTAAACATTGGTGGGATCTGCCCATCACTTCACACATGGTTTCTGGACAATTCGTTTCAGCAACATCGAAGGAGAGATGTTAAAATCCAGATATGCAATGAACACTTTTTTTCAATCAAATTGCGTGGTAACAGGGTTAAATAATATTGAAATCAGATATGACATGAGCTTTTTCGATGTTGGATGCGTGATGATAAGTTGCGAAACAAACATCGTCAAGCTTACTTGCTAAGTGGGGCAAAATGGTGTGATTGATTGTTGATTGTTTGTTGTTTAACGCCACACTCAGCAATATTCCAGCTGTACGGCCGCGTTCTGTTAATGATCAAGTCTGCGCCAGACAGTCCAGTGATCAACATTAATAGCATCGTTCTGTGAAGTTGAGATACTAGTTGTCATCCAAGTCAGTGAGCCTGACCACCAGTCACCACTATGTTAGTCTCGTACGAGAACCATTGTTGCTGAAGTCCAACCCGGAGAGAAGTGGATATGATTTTACGCTGCATTTATCACTATTCTTGGCACTTGATTACTGAGTGGGGACAACGTGCATTGGCTCAAAACATCGTACACGTATATGAAAATGAAATCTATCTGCGCAATGGGGATACGATGACATGTGTCAACCGAGTCAGCGAACCTGACCACCCGATTCAGTTAGCCGCCTCTTACGACAAGCATGCGTTGCTGAAGACCGGTTCTAACCCGGATCTACACGGGTTCAAAATGGATGTATTCAGCACTGTAGGTAACTGCAGTGCAGATGAATGAAGTATTATGTGTAGCAAACTATACCACCTTTATAACGAACTATTTGGGGGGTCCCGGCTACATGCTGCATATTTTTGTCGCATTACTACTACGGTTAAGACGAACTGAAATAGTGCTAACTTCTTGTTCGTTATAACCATAGTTAAATGTATATGTGTGGTTTCACGAATATATCACCCGGTAGGCAATATTTCAAGACTTCCGGGAAAGCGGGCTTCCACTGATACCATTCAAAGCGCTGTTAAAAAGAACCATTCACTCATTCACAGCGAGAAATTCGTAAAACAATCAATATCTCCTTTAATCAATGATGTCATTCATATAATTATTTCATGGATGTAAACTTAAGACACATGTGCATCTAAACACCAACTGAGTTGTAATTTGAGTGAGTGGGGTAAACTTTAATATCACATTTGCCAGGATTCACAGTATTCAGGTGGTGTTAAGTTTCTTTCCTCTGTGATAAATATTGTTTTGTAGCTCAGTTTTATGAAGGGCTTACAATAGGTAAAGAGTTTTTTTCACCAGACCATCCTAAATATTTTCACGTACATGTCTATATTTAGAAATAAAGATGTTTTTACTGGAAGAGTTATTTTGAAACGAAAGGATTGCAAGAGGGTGATGACAAAGATGTGACAATGACGTGACGTCGAATCTGGTTTGTTTCAAGGTCGAATGCAAATCGCCGACCTTCCTATCATCTACATGAAGTGTTTCTCTCAATTATTTAATTTACATTTCATGAACGTTTACGATATTGCATTTAGCTTGTTGAAAACACCAAGCACTTTTCGGGATGACCACACAACGCTTCATCATTCTGCATTACGGAAGTGTCAGAAGGGCTGTGTTGCAGGCACCAAACCCGGGTACTAATGACAGTCAAGAAGTTTGGAGATACCAAACCTAAGACACCAGGAATAATGGTGACTTGGATAAATTTGTATTTGGGATACAAGCAAGTTTTTTCGCAAGCAAAGTCCACATGTGTGCCATGTTTGATTTTGGGAATCACATTTCTGACAGAAAAAATCAATGATGTTATTATTTTCTTATAAATAAACGACAAGGTCAGGTTGTTGGTTTGGATACGTTTGAGGCTGTGTACGGGTCTATTCGAAAGAATTTTATAATTATCGTTTTCTATGACGTCCTCTACAAATTCTGGATTGTAACATTGATGGACTTCTGGAGTCAAAACCAAAGACACGACGAAGACGCTAATAAAAGGATCGAACCACGCCGTCATGTCATGTTAGATAATAGGACTGGTGTGTTAGCCCAGTGGTTAAAGCGTTCGCTCGTCACGCTGAAGACCCGGGTTCGACTACCCACATGGGTAGAATGTGTGAAGCCCATTTCTGATGTCCCCCACTGTGATATTGCTGGAATATTGCTAAAAGCGGCGTAAAACTAAACTCACTCACCATAAGATAACATTGTGTCTGTGTCAACGCTGGGAATACATCAACAAGGTGTTACACAATATCGTTACATTCATTACATATTCCACGTTTCATATTTACAAAATCACATTGACACATTGGTTGGAAGTGACTGGTCCTGAAAAACAATCAGAAAGCCTTCTGTTTACATCTCACCCGACTTCATCCAGTACCCAGGAGGGCTGCTCTTCGTCTAAACATACTGAACAAAACTCGGTACAGAGGTCGTTCCTTGAGCCTTCCTTCTGTGCCGAGGTTACAAGTCACTTCACTTGGTTGACACGCATCTCTGCATCAGTACAGAAGCATCAAAGAAAACCACCACTGACACTGACATTGTCATTGATGTCTCCAACATCTTTGACTCTTTTCAGATAACTGGAATGCCTTGTTTGTATTTCCTTGTGACACGCTTCGCAAGAGAATTATCAGACAAATAAAGTGTACAATAACATTCTGTCATGAAGATCCACACCCTCCCATTATGAATGATACAAATAACCGATTGATTGAAGAGTTCATATGGTGGCATGTACTCTGACATGCTTCTCCATATGAGCGTGTCAGACAGTGCTCTTAATTTCTTGTTTCGCCGACTCAACGATACCTAAAGAATATGAGAGGACGGGCACAGCATTAGTATTTGTGGCTTGGACTTAAATGCGAACTGTTCTGAAATCCACAAATTTTCTTTTGTCTGCTTTTGTATTCTGCTCGAAATTTGTCCCTATGTGGGCACCCTGAGGTTTGTCTCTAATCTGTACCATAGGCCTGTCTGTTAACGAGACGGCCAATAAAAACACCCCGAGGAATACAGACTGACCCTCCTTCTCCCATGAATGTTACGTACATCTGAAATGAGTTCTGAGGCCATCATCTGGCCTTGCTGGTCCATCTCAAGTTGAGTTGACCGCCAGTTCAATAAAAACTGAAGTAACAACAATCGTTCGGGGAGGTCAATGCATTCTTGTGATCCCAAAATCAATTCGTGAGGTACAGAATCGTAGGCTTTTCTGTAGTCTATCCAACACATTGAGATGTTACTGTGGCAAATGTTTACCTCTTCAAGGATCATTTTATGAACCAGTAAATCATCTTTGCAACGCCAGCATCCCTTTCCGGCTCATCTCTGCTCCATGTGAATAATTGGCGGTGCTGTATCCGAGCATCCCCTTAAGAGTTTACATGACTGATTTAAGTGGCACTAACAAGACACAAATATCACCTACAAGACATTGATAACATCAGCCAGAGTGGTGGGATAGCCCAGTGGTTAGAGCGTCCAATCGTCACACCGAAGACCCGTGTTCGATTCCCCACATGGGTACAATGTGTGAAGCCTATTTCTGGTCTTCCCCGCCGTGATATTGCTGGAATATTGCCATAAGCGGCGTAAACCCAACTCACTCGCTGACATCACGCAGTCATCTAGACCCAACAAATTCCAGACTTGCACTTAAAGTGAAAATTGAACTCTATATATTTACTCCTCAAAATCCCATATCTTAAATTACCGTTACCTTTATACTTCATATTATATCAGTAGGTTTTATAGAACTATATACTGGTTTTATAGAACAGGGCACTTTCCACGACCTAGAGTAAGATCACTGGAAAACTATTCTGAGTCAAAAAAGAAACTTCACATTCTTTCTTCAGGGCACTATAAAAGAACAAGAGATGGTAAGATGGTTAAATTGTTATTATTTCATTGCTGAGATCTGTGTGATGTACTCGATACACTGACAGTGCCATAATCAGTTCCATTAGGCTACACCGCCGTTCCAAAACATGGGTATACAGAATGTCAAGTCACAAGAATAAAAATGCGAAATTTCTCAGTTCAATATCGTGTATGGCCGCCCCGCGCATTCACCACTGCCAAACACCGTCTCCTCATCGACTGCCTGATGCTTTTGAACACGTGGTTGGGGATTCTTCGCCATTGCTCTTGCAAGGCAGCGCCAAGTTCCTGCAAATTCTGAGGTTGGTTCCTAAGACCACGAAGCCTTCTCCCAAGTGCATCCCAAACGTGCTCTATTGGATTAATGTCAGGGGACCTCGATCGCCAGTCCCTGACGTTGATTCCAGCGTTTTGAAGGAAATTTCGTGTCAACATCGCGGTATGCGGCCGAGCATTATCATGCTGGAACTGTAGACCTGGGCCATGAGCCGCCATGAAAGGAACGAGTTCAGGGGTGAGCACCTGGTCGCGGTAAGCAGCAGCTGTGAGGTTTCCACGGATGACCAGAAGTCGGGAACGGTTGTTCCCACAGAAAGCACCCCACACCATGCAACTTCCGCCCCCGAATCTGTCGACTTCCTGTACACAACATTGGGCATACCGTTCACTACGTCGTCTCCAGACTCTATGCCTGCCGTCCGCGAATCTGAGGGTAAACCTGGATTCATCGCTAAAGACGACTCGATTCCAGTCTCTCTGGGTCCATCGGAGGTGACGTTGGGCCCACAGCAGACGTTGACGTTGATGAAACGGCGTCAATATTGGCTCACGATATGGACGTCGAGAATGGAGATTGGCAGCCCGCAACCGATTTCGAATGGTCTGTGAGGACAGTCGACCTCTAAACATCTCAGCCCTGGTTCGTGTAGCCGGCAGAAATCTGTCACGTAGGTGACGTAGGACGATTTGACGGTCTTCTGCTCGTGACGTTCACGTGGACGACCCGACCTTGGGCGATCAGAAGTGGTGCCAGTTTGTTGTAGACGACCTCGCAAGTCATACACAGTACGACGGCTGCATCCCATTTCTCTTGCTACGTCAATAACTGATCTTCCCGCTTGCAACATGCCAAAGGCACGTTCATGTTGCACATTTGACAGTCGTGACATTTCAAGTACCGTTAGAACTGTGGTTTAAATGTGTTTTTTTCAATTCTTGAGGCCAATGCAAACACGTGCATATGAAGAAAACTTCGATGCGAAGATCACGTGATCGACTGCACGTGCAAAACCTGATTTGGCACTAACGTCATTTGCACGACGAATGGATGGGTTTGAGTGGCTTTTGCTAACGTTTTTTTAGAGGCGACAGATAGGGATCCCATTTCGGATACATAGATGTATCATCAGAGAAAAATTATTCATTATTTTTCAAATTACATTTTGTGAAGTTTCTTTTTTGACTCAGTATATATACACGATGTATTAATATATCTTCACTCACACACAATACTTGAGGCAATGTGAAGGTTGCCTGTCGGATGTCACATGCTCATTGTTTGGTCTCGCTATCTCAGTGTGTTATCTCAAGCCACTGTAGCACACTGGTGAATGTTGTGTCATATTTTTTCAATAGGATTGCCCATGTGATGTTATATCATGTGATGGAATTTGTGAGGATATCTACAGTAGTGGACTGAGCACTACATAACATACAACATGGAAACAGAACCGCTCCTGCCAAAAAGGGGAGGATTCTCCTGAATCTGGAGATCGGAAATCTCATGTGAAGAATCTCCTCTTTGGAAATATGATATTATTCATGTTGGTTACAGGGGGAATGATGTACATGCAAGTGATGAGCCAGTATGTCTACAAACGGGTGACAGAGGACTTGTTTCGTAATCAAACTCTGGCGGGAAAAGGCCCAATGAATCAAACATGTTACCTGAACACGTCAAACCCAGACTACATCCTTCAGGAGAAGGCACAGCAGATCGCCGCAGACAAACAAATGCAGTTCACCATTGTAAAAAGTAGTCTAGCCATCGTCATTAACATTATGCTTGGTGCCTACTCAGACTCTGTTGGTCGTAAGCTCCTCTTTGCAGCACCTCTGACTGGTCAGTTTTTGAAATTCGGAATTTCATCAGTCATTATGTACTGGAACTTGGATATCAATTTGTTTTTTGTAGCAGAAGGTATAGGCGGAATAACAGGAGGCTATTTCGCTTTTCTGATTGCATCGTATGCCTATGCTGCTGACAACACCCCAGCAACAGGTGCGCGAACCATGGGCATAGCCTTCGTGGAGTTCTTTTGAGAACATAGGAGCTGCTGCCTCAGCCACAGCAACAGGCTACTTCATCCAAGACGTGAACTTCTTCTACCCGACACTCACTGCCACGCTGATCGTTCTTCTGGATCTTATATTGGTGGTGACTCTACTGCCAGAGAGAAAGAGACCTAAAAGAGCAAAGAGCAAATGGATTACACCTCTAGAAGGATGTCGACGAGTCTTCGGATTTTATGTTTTGGAAGGTAGTATACGGAAGCGAATATGCTTCGTATTAGCTATCTTGATATTCGTTTTTACAGCCTTGCCAGCCGTTGGGTCATCTAATATTGACATCCTTTTTAAACTGAACCTTCCATTTTGCTGGACCCCAGAGAAAATAGGTTACTACAGTACAATCGGCTCTGTAGCACAACAGGTGATCGGTGTTCCGTTGACGCGACTGTTACAGTGTTGCTGTATCGATGAGGTGATCGGAGTGATTGATTTACTGGCGATGGGAGCAGCAGAAGGCCTACAGTCAATTGCAAGCACAGACTGGATGATGTATGGGCGTAAGTACATTGTGAAATATGACCGACAAATATATCATTCTGAGGACCTGTGATTTTGATTAAATGTAATCCGGTTCTACTTTTGGCACACTGATATTTAATTAATTATGGATGGCATTTTAAATGGACGAGTTTGTAATCATATATGCTGAAAATTGATGAAAAGATGTTATTTCCCCGGAATAGCCCAAATCCATTATTATTGAAACTCTTCAGTACAAATTATGTTTCTCTTTTAAAGATTAATATACTACCTTGGCTCTGACACATAAAAACGCTCAATAGTTCGAATTATAGAGTTGTTTTTTATTCATAACACTAATGTTAGTATCATGTTCTTCCAGTTGCCGGCATCAAGATCCCTGCTGCCACAATGTTCCCAATCGTCCGCTCCATCATGTCCCGGTTAGCTCCAGCTAACAAGCAAGGTCAGTACGTATATGGAGAATGTTCGGAATATAAAGAGAACCTCAGCCGAGTATCTTTTGATAGCAAATATATCACCACGAGTTGATAAAGTTACAAATATCCGAGGCTTGCCGAGGATATTTTTACTTTTATCAACGAGTGTTGATATATTTGATATCAGGAGACACGAGGGTGAGATTCTCTTTATCATCAAATTCACTCTTCATTAGTTTTCAATGAAAAATGTACATCTCTGATCACAGTACTGCCATTAGACTTACAGTGCAGCGATGGCATAGCATTGTGACGTAATCAAGTTCATGACGTCATAGCATTGTCAGGGCATTATTCTAAATCCAACTGTCAAAATGACATCTCCTGGGAGATATCGTTTCATCTCACACAAGCAATATCTCCTGTGGAACACAGTTTTGGATGAAAAATCACATATCCAAGGAGGGTCCTTCACTCCTAGTCTATGAAATCAGACTTTTGGCTCCGTCTGAACAGAAAGAAAACATACATTGTAGGTTCCTTGTAAGCATTCATTCTGTTGTTCATATTCCACACGTTTTGAGTAAATCCATGCGTATAGTTTGATAATTCCCCAAAGGGACTCGTGTCGGTAAAGGCCGACAGCATCTTTTTACAAAATCTTGTGTTCAGAGGTTTGTCAGACCCAATGTCCAGGTAGATTACGGACATTGTACCCTGACACCTGTTTATTCGATCAGTCACTGAATTGCCTAACGAGCGCCCAACAAGCCATCCTGGTATAGATAGTTGGTTGGTTGGTTGTTTAACGCTGCACTCAGCAGTATTCCAGCTACATGACGGCAGTCTGTAAATAATCGTGTCTGGACCAGACAATCCAGTGATCAACATCATGAGCATCGATCTACGCAACTCGGAGACGATAGCGTGTGTCAACCACGTCAGCGAGTCTGACCACCCGATCCCGTTAGTCGCTTCTTACGTCAAGCATTGATTGCTGCTGAATTCTAAGCCGGATCTTCGTGGTGTAATATATAATTATGGAAGAAAGTACTACTGAAAGGTAGCCTCTTACAACAAGCATACGGGTACAGTACAGATGAAATATTGCTGACATCTGAATAAAGCTGTAATATTGTTGCAGGTTCTCTGTTCGCCAGTATAGCGGTGGTGGAGACGATGTGCTCGTTGGTGGGGACGTCTGTCTTCAGTGACATCTACCAGTACACCGTGGTGGTATGGAGAGGGATGGTTTTCGCCGTCATGGGAAGCATACACGTCACCGGTGCCATTGTTCTTGTGTGGGTATTTAAAGCGCTTCCTTTACTATATACACAACCCCAAAACCGGTTTTAAACAGATTATTTCTGTCAACTGATTGAAAAGTGTTTTAACAATATTCCAATCCGTGGATGTTGAGTTGACCGCTGGACAACGCGGCAGGTAGTAGGAGGCGACCAAAGAAATTGAGTTCTCAGATAACCTGACTTTGTTGCTTGCTTGTAATAGTTTCTAGGTATTCATCATTCCTCTTGTGGATTTTGACACTTACTTCTTTAAGTAATAAAACCCAAACTTTCATATCAAAGTGAATGAATCGTTGTGGCCATGATCATTTACAATAGTAAAAAGTTACATATTATTATCACCGTTCTGTCCCTTTTGCTAATCCAATAAAGGATGTAATTGTCACGCCGAGTCTTTGTTTCAGGATCTATATATTCGTGTCCAAACCGATCAGACAGAAGCGAGATGTTCTGAAGGTTCAGCGCGATGTTCAGCAGGATCACCCTGAGGTTCCACATGTTCAGCGCGTGGTTACGGTGCATCAAGGGACGCAGACTGACGTAACCGTTGATCCAGACAAGGACGTGCATGCACAGTCGGCGGCAGGCCTGGAGGTGGCAGAGGTCACCCGTGCGGGCATACACGTGCATGTTCAGTCAGAGTTTGGCGAAGAGGATGGATTCTTTATTACAAAGGACTAGAAAACTTCATGACACCAACAAGACTCCTGACTGCGACAAGAGGGGAAATGTTCCCATTTTGACATTGCGCTTCAAGGACAGACTGTACAGACATACCCCACAGTGCTTTCATTACATGTTTGTTGTGGACAATGTACAGGAACAATTATCACTCATGTTTTAAAAAGTTACATTTGTAATGCAATGGATCATATGTTTGTTTTACAAAAAGGACCAATTATAAATGCACGAGACATTACATTATTAACGTAAACTACATGACAATAGGCCCTCTATATACTACAGTTATATTACACAACGTTGTCTACAGGGTTTTTTAAAATTCTCTAAGTAAGTATATTTTTTAAATTGCAACTGTACAGATATTTAGACTATTTTTAAACATACTGATGATCGCTTTTACAGTAATGTGTGATTATGTAATTTCATATGGTCACGAAGAACAGAGAGGAAGGGAAACTTACAGCAACATAACACCTTCAAGCTGCTGGTTCAGTGGCTGTTCAAGTTCTCTCCAGAAACCATTAATAACGTCACAATCAATCCAACCAATGAATATCCTTTTAACTTGAGGATTTACAACACACAAAAAAACACCACCATCGTTCATTTTCCACAAATACCTTTTTGTATTATATATCACACATGATCTTATGCATAAATTTATACTGACATTATGTTAAGTGTCTCTTGTACAGTTTCTACCTTATATTACGCTAACAATTGTGTTATTGCCTCGTTTCTGCATGTACTTATTTTATTGTCACACTTAGTTCAAATCAACTGTGCAGCATTAATTTCCTTTGGTATAATAAAGCCTCGTCCTATTTTCTCATCTTTTAGATTAATTTCCAACATCCTTCCCCACAAGACTGTATGTCAACTGTACTTGTCGCATATATTGGGCACATTACCTGTTCTAATTTAGATATCTTAACATTGTCTGCCCACATGTACTTTACTTTCATTTTATGTTAATGAAAGAGCCAGACATGCTTTTGTAACATCGATCTTAATGGAATTTATTTTGATATTTACCAAGCTGTTTATAACGAATCTGATTGTTAAAAGTGATTATCAAACCACATAGGTTCCATAATTTCCTGATAAGCTTATTCATACCACATCTTTCACATCAGATATTTCATGCTAACTGTTGAATTTTGTCCCAGTATTTAATACTTTGAAAATCCAAAATGGATTTAGGTTCATATTTACCAAGCTGTTTATGACAGCTCTGATTGTTTAATGTGATTATCAAACCACACATTAATTATTTCTCATAATTTTATTTATATCACATTTATCAAATCAAATATTTCATATTTACTCCTGAATTTTGCCCCAGTATTTAATACTTTGAAAATCCAAAATGCGTTATCGATATGACAATACATTATTTTATTTTTATATTAAACTAATGACAAGCAGCTTCATCATGTGGCCTGACATTTCTTTAGATAAGTAAAGATTGTCTAAATCAGCTCGGATGCTTGATGCTGTTCCATCTAAGGTACTTCGATATCATCAGAATCTATGTACGAGCCTAGTATCAGTATTTTGAATATTTATCCCATTATAAGTTCTGAACATATTACGGAAAATGTAAGCCACAAAAAGGAAGAGATTTACATAGAGAGAGGACACCTTGCCTGCATCCTCTTTCATTATGAATGGATATGGATAAATACAGGATCCAAACACGCCTAAAGTAGAAATGGCCCAGAAAACTTACAGATCGTAGAATTGAAAACAGCTAGACTAAAATAAGTTAGTTTGTGCTTATTACTAAAGAAGATCTAGACTCATAAAACAACCGCTTTGCACAACATCCGTTACATCCTTACAACCTAACCAGATATCCTTGTCACATGTACACAACATTCGATTACTTACATTTACTTATCAGTTACTCAGCAGTATTACAATGCCGTCCGGTAATTCCGCGCACCTAACGACATCGATCGCAACACGGCAACTAACGTCTCTTATTTTTTGTGGTTTACATGACTAAACATGCTGGTATGCATCATATTTACCTAGAAATACAAGATTTATTGACGACTATAAGATTCTAACGTTGCATTATGCCATATGGTTGACCTTACCGGCGTTCTGACGATATCACTTGCTGTCCGGTAATTCTGCGCAGCAACTGATGCGCATAACATCCAGTTGGAGATCCAAAGTATGGGAGCGTATTAGGGCCAGATTATTTTCAAAATCATTTCATCAATGTAAGGAAGAGAGTTTGATATTAAATCCATAATGAATAATTTAGAAAAAGGTCTAAAGATCTGAAGAAAACGAATTTTCATAAAACTGTCAATTTATGTGTCAATTACTGTTATTTACTTACCTTTAGTGATTAAAAGCCAGTCCCTTGTAGAAATGTCCTGATTTCAAGCGCAAATGTGGTAGCAGACGATGTTGACCTTCGATACGGAAGTACGCTAGTGCACCTGCGCAGAATTGCCGGACGCGTGGAATTACTGGACTCGCTTGTACAATTCCCTAACTACTGACAGAGTTGACATTAGTCATCGCTTCCGGAAACTAGAGTTATCCCCCTTAGACTATGTCGGTCACTGACACTGGGTTGCTGTATTTGTCCGACATACCAAGCTGTTTACTCATGATTCCGAGAAACACTTTTGTACCTTTTGTCCGACAATAACTGGATTTAATTAACACATGCAACACAAACTCAGCCGTGCGGTCACTGTTCAGTATGGTGATTACAACAGTGTGTATTAAAATTGTTGGAAATAGTAACTCACTGTTAGAAAATACGGAAATATTGTTCAAACTGCCGTGAAAACAAACTCACTCAAAAACTGGAAATTAAACATTATTGAAGCATGCGTCCACCATTTAATATCTTAACAGTTGCCCTGGTTGTGTTTCTTGGTTTGCTATCAGTCCTCGTGGGTTACAGCAATTTTGATAAAGCTGGAATATTGCTGAGTGCGGCGTTAAACAACAATCAATCTATCTACCTCCAACAATTTGGTCAAGGTTAACACCCGCATCACATTGTGGCGTTTTACAACAAGCTGACGCTGATTTTTTATCTCATACAAAAGTCCAAGAGACGTAAACCCGTGAAGATCCGGGTTAGAATTGATCTTCAGTAACCTGCTTGTAGTAAGAGGCGACTAATGGGATCGGGTGGTCAGGCTCGCTGACTTGGTTGAAATATGTCATCGTATCCCAATTGTTTAGATCGATGCTCATGTTGTTGATCACAGAAATGTCTGGTCCAGACTCAATTATTTACAGACCGCCGCCATATAGCTGGAATATTGTTGAGTGCAGCGTAAAACTAAACTCGTTCACTCACTCACTCACTCAATCACTCACTCACTCATTGACCTAAAGAGACGTAAGCCTCACTCAGGTCAATACTTAGGAGGACAACAACACAATGACACACATATCACCAACAAGATACTGATAACATTGCACAGCCATCTACATACTCCTCAAATTAACGCGAGATTTTGATCCCATTTGACCTGGATGCAGCGTATGGTCTAAATACTACATACGGAAGGGAATAGAATCAAACAGGAAATATGACATTAAACTCAACAAAGCTGTTTTCCTTCATCTGTTAATAGGGTCAGTAAACGTTGTACACTCACTGTACCGGTATCATGTCGCATATAAAAAATATAGATAATGTTGTTCGGGTTAAATTATACAGGAATGTCCATGTGATGTCATATCATGTGACGACATATGTGGAGATATCGCCAGTAGTGGAGTGAGCACTGCACAACACACAACATGGAAACAGAACCGCTCCTGCAAAAGGTGGAGGAGTCCGCGGAATCTGGAGTCAAGAAATCTCAAATCAAGAATCTCCTCTTAGGAAATATGATATTGTTCATATCAACACTTGCGGTGTCGATGTTTTCGCCAGCGATGAGCCAGTATCTCTACAAACGGGTGACAGAGGACGAGTTTCGCAATCAAACTCTTGCAGGGAAAGGCCCAATGAATCAAACATGTTACCTGAACACGTCAAACCCAGACTACATCCTTCAGGAGAAGGCACAGCAGGTCACCGCAGACAAACAAATGCAGTTCACATTTTTGAGAACTAGTCTTGCCATCGTCAGTAACATCATGCTTGGTTCCTACTCAGACTCTGTTGGGCGTAAGCTCCTCTTTGTCGTACCACTCACTGGTCACTGTTTGAGATTTGGATTGACGGCAGTCATTATGTACTGGAACTTGGATATCAACTGGTTTTTTCTTCCAGAAGGTTTAGAAGGGATATCAGGGACCTATTACGCTATGCTCCTTGCATCGTTTGCCTATACTGCTGACAACACCCCAGCAACAGGTGCTCGAACCATGGGCATAGCCTTCGTGGAGTTCTTTAAGAGCATAGGATCTGCTGCCTCAGAAACGGCAACAGGCTACTTCATCCAAGACGTGAACTTCTTCTACCCGACACTCACTGCCACGCTGATCGTTCTCGTGGACATTCTCCTAGTGGTGACACTACTGCCAGAGAGAAATGGGATTAAAAAGGCAAAGAGCAAATGGATAACACCTCTAGAAGGATGTCGACGAGTGTTCGGATTTTATGTTTTAGAGGGCACTAAGCGAAAGAGATTGTGTTTCGTATTAGCTATCTTGATATTCGTTTTTACAGCCTTGCCAACCGTTGGGTCATCTAATATTGACACACTTTTCAAACTGAACCTTCCATTTTGCTGGACACCAGAGAAAATAGGTTACTACAGTACAATCAGCTCTGTAGCACAACAAGTGATCGGGGTTCCGTTGACGCGACTGTTACAGTGTTGCTGTATTGATGAGGTGATCGGAGTGATTGGTTCAGTGGCCATAGGCTTAGCAGACAGTCTTCAGTCCATTGTAAGCAAAGACTGGATGATGTATGGGCGTAAGTACATCGTAAAATATTGTCATTTCATTTTTCCTTGGGACCGGTGATTTTGTCTGATAATAATCCGGTTTCACTTTCGGTACCAGAAAATGTTCATTTGTCTCCGCTCAGACCAGGTCATGTTCCATTATTGTTGAAAATAGTCTGTGCGGATCTTTCCAAAATAAAATAATAACTGAACATTGACACACCAAACCGCTAAAAATAAGTTTTAATTTTTTTTTAATTCATTTCTTATCTTGCGTGTGATTTTACGACTTCGTTAGAATTTCAGTGTTCTTTCAGTTGCGGGCATCAAGACTCCTTCTGCCACGCTGTTTCCAGTAGTTCGCTCAACCATGTCAAAGATGGCACCGGCTAACAAGCAAGGTCAGAACGCATAGAAGGAAAAGTGCACGTATCATGTATTATGTCAAATGACGCTCCTTTTCTCAGTCTAGGAAATATCCGTTGCCTTTGTCAAGAATAAGTAAGAAGACATATATTGTACAGATAGGTGTACAGATAAGCCTGCATACTTGGACAATGTACTAACAATATCCTGTAACAATTCAAATCAAGTAGAAGCTACTCCTTCACTCAGTCCAGGAAATAACAGTTACCCCCTGTCAAGAATACGTAGCCTTTGCGTCTGTCAAGAATAAGTAAGACGACATATATTGTAGGCGCACAGTAATCCCGCATACTTGGAGAATGTAGTAACAATATCCTGTAACAATTCAAATGAAGTAGCAGCTACTCCTTCACCCAGACTAGGAAATAACAGCTAGCTGTCAGGAATAGGGAGCCATTGCCTCTGTCAAAAATAGGTAAGAAGACATATATTGTAGGTGCACAGTAAGCCCGCATACTTGGAGAATGTAGTAACAATATCCTATAACAATTCAAATGAAGTAGCAGCTACT